TCTCTCCCTCTCTCTCTCTATCTCGGGCCCCGGCCATATGGTGTCTCCCTGCTTCACCCTTCTGCCTTCCTCCCACTCACTGACACACCTCGGCTTTCCCCCTCTACCACCTGGGATAGGTTTCTCTCGGTCGGAAAATTGATGCCTCGCAGCTGACCCTCCTCGCGGGAGACACAGTATGTGCTGCTATCCCCCCCCCCCCTGGCAACGCCCATATGAATCGTCCGCTCTTGAGGCCTCTTCACTGACCCGGCCTTTCCCCACCCTCCAGACTGTCGATGACCTCTCGGCCCCTCTGTTGAGCTTGGCCGCGTCCCGGGCCGGCACGCGCTCCTCCGTGGCTGGGATTGACTTGGCTCCCCGCTCCGGGGATCTACCGCCCATCTCGGTGCGCATCTCGGACGATCTGCTGGAGGCCACTGCCAATGGAGGCGATCCCGGCGTGGCTCTCGACGCCAGCCAGGCCGAGGCTGCCCCGCAGGCCGATGTCCCGGCCGCGGCCGCCGCCTTTGAGACGCGCGGCGTCTCGGGGGGGCCCGCTTCCCCCGCTCGGCAGCCCATTTTCGGGCTCCCCTCGGCCAATGTCGCCGCCGGCAAGGGGCCAGACGCGCTCCCGGCGGAATTCTACACGCGCGAGGGTGCGTCCATCATTTCCATCTTTCTCTCGCCCCCCCCCCCCCTGACCGGGTAACTCATTCCCCATCCTCATCTGGCGAAAAAAAAACACACACACATACACAAAAACCGCCCCAACAAACTGGCAGGCGTTCCGGAGCGCCTCGCCCTGGTGGCCTCCCGCAATGCGGGGGTCTCGCTCGGGAGGCGGAACTATGCCCATCGGCTGTCTTCGGCGTCGGTTTTCCTGAACTTCAACGCCGGGGCTGATCCCTCGGTGTCCGGCTCGCCGGCCATCGCCAAGGGCAGCCCTCTGAGCGGGCCATCCTCCAGCCTGGCCAGCGCCCCTGTCGAGGCGGCTTCCCCGGAGGAGGCTCCCATTGATGATCCCATCGAGCAGGACTCGGATGCTCACCTTGTACGCTCGGCCCTCTGCCCCCCCGAGAACATCCTCCCTCCCCTTCATGCCACTAATTCCCCACCCCCCGTGTCCGACCACCGCCTGCTTCTCTCCCTTCTGCTTCCCCCCCCCCACTCCACCCCCCGTCGCGTCTCTACTCGTCCCTTCAGGACGAGATCATCGCCCAGTTGACCGAGTCTGTGGAGGCCGACAACTCCCCCCCGGTCCCCAACGAGCCGTCCAGCCCGACCCCAGTCAGCCGCTCCGCCTCGACTCTGTCCAACTTGTCCTCCAAGTCGAGCTTCGCCTCGTCGAATGAGCTCCTGGCCGAGACGGCCACCGCCCAGGAGTCCGAGGCCGACGAGGCGGATCTCTCGCCCCCGATGTCGGCGCCCACGCCACCGGTCCCGGATAGCGGCAGCAAGGAGGTCGAGCAGCCGGCTCTGTCGCCGGCCCCGAGCACCGAGCAGCTGGCCCCCCTGCCGGAGCCTGCCCCGGTGGCTGGCACCGTGTCACTTCCGCCGCCGATTGTCACGACGGCCCCGGAGGATCAAGCCCCCATCATTGCCCAGGCCCTGCCGCTATTCAACCCCTTTGCTCCGTTTGCATTTGGCGACCCGCCGGCCGACACATCGGCCCTGGTTGAAGTCCCCGGCATCCTGCGCTGTGCCTTTGTCTTTGTTCGGTGTGCCGATCTGCCGGCTGTCCAGACGGAGGAGGCTCTCTCGGAGTCGCTCGAGTCCTCCGGACGCGCGCGTGTCTGCTATGCCTGGGACATCCCGAATGATGCGACCGTGCAGATGATCCGGGAGGAAGCGCGCCGGGTGTGGGCCGCGCACCGGGCCAACCCGGCGCCCGTAGAGTCCACCCCTGTCGAGGCCGATGATGAGGTTGACCCTGGCGATGTGGTCCTCCGCTTTGCCAACACCCATGGCTTGTTGGTGGAGCTTTTCGACGGGACCCAGCTCCTGTGCGTTGCCCCATATGCGCCTTCTGCGCTTGCCCCCCCCCCCC